GTGTATTCTGTCCAATCCCCTTTGCAGGACATCCTGCAGGAGATCCAAGCTTCTCCTTCTACCTCTTATAGTGCTTACTTGTGGAGCTTCTCACAAATAGTCCTAAATCCTAGATCACCCTGTCCAAAGTAGCTCATGCAACTATACAGGGTTATTAAAGCAGCCAACACACATTGAATCCCTCCTGGCTCTGCCAGCCAATCCCAGGGAATAAGCTCAGCTAAGGGTCTAACCTCAACTGATATTGTGTGGTATAGAAGAGCTATCTAGCCAGGCCCTGCCTGACTTCTTAACCTACAGAATCCCAGTGAATGAAGTGTTAAGTTGTTGTATTAAGCAATGTTGGTTTTCTTGTAGTTTATTTGCACCAGTAGAGAACCCAAACCATGGATTTTTGTATCATGTTTGACAATGACTTGGATTATTTTTATGCTACTTTTTGATATCATGATTTCAACATTCATAATGTAGACATGCAATAGCCAATTTTATTTAATATTTAATATATATATTGAGTTGATTTTGGGAACCTATAAAGCAAGGATAAATTCCTTTCTCTCAAAAATTTCTGGTAAGTAAGAGACTATGAGTAACTCTTGCCCCAACCACACTCAGAGGATGACTCTAGGACACAACAGTTACCTTCAGGAGTCCCGAATGAGCAGGAGTAGAGAGCAGAGGAGATAAGTGAAAGGAAGAAAGGTCTGTGGGTGAAAGAGATAAAAAGCTTGTGATGGGTGGAATCAGACATAAACCCAGAAGGATAGGTTGTGGAGTATTTGAATGCTACTTTTAAGAGTGTGGGCGAAGCCACACTGGGTTAATTTTAGGATGGCAGAGACAGTGTAATTCCAGTTATAGCTTCAGGAAAAGAGATCAATTTGGAGATTTTTGCAGTGGTTAAGATGTGAAGTTGAGATGAACTATATGTGACTATAGGCAGAAGAGAAAGGTTGGACACAGAGAAGCACTGGTGATGGCTTAGCCTACAGGGTGTGGTGGGATTGGAAGGAAAAGAAGCAAAGGCTTGTTTGTCACAGACTGAGAGATGGGTAGATCTTCCTGCAGTGGAAGTGGACTCAGTGGGGACTTGGAGGTGCATGAACATGCTTGGGTCACCCATTGTAGAGGTTTTAATTCTGTAGAAAGGACAATTGGGGTGAGTAGAGACTACAGAGGAGAGAGTCTGAGAAGCTGGTGGTTGAGGGAATGGATGAGACTTCCTTGGAATGGTGTGCCTTGAGGGTGTAGGAAGTGTCTTCTAATTTTCCAGGGTGCTGAAAAGATAATGCTGACAATTTGCTTTAGAAAATGAAAAAAAATCGAAACAAAAGAAGTAAATCACAGGACCTTTGAGTGGGCTTGAAATGAAAGGCCCAGATGGAACATAATGCAAATCAGTAATCTGTTTTTAAAAACATCTCTGACTTCAGCTGTGGCTCAGTGGTAGAACACTTGTCCAGCATGTTCATAGTTCTGATTTCAAACCATAGTAACTGGCAGCAAACAAACACATAATGAAACAAACAAAGAAACAAACAAAACAAAACAAAATGTACAGTAGAAAATTGTTCTCTTGTGGGCTGGAGAAAGGTTTAAGTTTAAGAGCACTGACTGCCAAAAAGACAAACAGGGTATGTACGCACTCATATATGGGTTTTAGACATAGAGCAAAGGATTTCCAGTCTACAATCCACACTGCCAGAGAAGCTAGGAAACAAGGAGGACACTAAGAGAGACATACATGGTCCCCAGGAGAAGGGGAAAGGGACAAGTTCTCTTAAGCAATTTGGGAGTATGGGGGGAGGGGAGGGAGAGGGAACTGGGAGTGACATATAAAATAATCTTGTTTCTAATTTAAGTAAAAAAAATGGAGAAAAAAGAGCACTGATTGCTCCTTCAGAGATCCCAGGTTTGCTTTTCAGCACCCATATCTCCCTATGGGTGCTACCAATAGTCTGTAACTCCAGTTCTAGGGGGTCTTCTGATTTCTGTGGATGCTGAAGTACATGTGATACACACAGCAGGCAAATATACATGCAGACAAAACAAATACACACATAAAATAAAAATGAGAGGGGGAAAGGCACATAAAAAAAACCAAAACAAAACAGATCCCAAACCAATCCATTACCTTGTGGCTGATGACATTAGAATGCAATATGCATGCATCTAAGCATGCTTCTTTAGAAAAAAGGAGATACTGGGGTCAGATACTATCTGTATGCTGCTACTCCCTTCCCAATTGTAAGACCACTTCTAGATGCTTCTTTCTCCTGCTCAAGATCACAGAACAACACTGAGAATCATGCTCTTCCTCTGTTCCCTTCACTTTCCTTCTTGACTTCCAAGTCCCTTGCCAATCCCCAACCATATCCTATTTTCCTGATTTGAGGCTGCTCAGTCTCTTTACTTTTAGATTAGAGTTAATTTTAGTGACTGGATGACATCCTCATCAAACATCAGTGTCTTAGTCCCAGTAAGATTGTAAATGGTGGTCACACTTTCCATTCTCATTTTTTTCTCTTGAAAATTGTGTGCTCAGGGCTGGAGGAATAGTTGAGTGAGTAAGAACACTGGCTCACCTGGGCAGTGATGGTGCACGCCTTTAATCCTGGCACTTGGGAGGCAGAGGCAGGTGGATCTCTGAGTTTGAGGCCAGTGTGGTCTACAGAATGAGTTCCAGGACAGCTGGCGATAACTCTGTTTTGAACCCCACTCCCTTGCAAAAAAAAAAAAAAAAAAAAAGAATGAAAGAAAAGAAAAAAGAAAGAAAGAAAAGAACATTGGCTGCTCTTCCAGAGGACTAGAGTGTGATTTCTAGCACACACATAGTAGCTAACAACCATCTGTAACTCCAATTCCAGGGGATCCAATATTCTCTTCTGGCTTCCTCAGGTGCTGAATACAAGCGACACAAAGATGTACAAGAAGACATAAAGTAAAAAGAAATAAAGACTTCAAAAACATTGTAGGCCCTTCACAAGGCTGGCAGGAATATGACCCTGCTCACCTCTGTCTCCTGGATCATCATAAGCCCTGTTGTCTTTACTATTCATTAATCCATGTAGCATTTAAGGACTGTCTACTGCCTGGCCCTGCCCTGTGACTTGGAGTGGGAGGAATGGATAACATGGCTCCAGCCCCATTGTTCTGGAATGTAGTTTCTCACAGTGGTACTGTAGGAACAAAAATACAGCAAAAAATGTCAATTTCTTCCAGAAAAAGCATTTGTCTCTGTGACTTTTTCTACTAGGGTTAGGTAGAACCAAGCCTCAGTAGTATGCTGTTTCTGATTGGTTATCAGGAGAAGGGGGATGGAATCATTTTGGAGGGCCTTGGGCAGCCAGCACAAGGAAGTGTCCTGCCTGGGTGGGATGTGAATGTTTGTATAACTGCCTCTTGGTTGGGTTGCCGTTTGGCTGCTAAACTTAGTAAGACAGACTTTTTTTCTTCAGTGATCTGAGACTGGTCCAACAGTTCCCATGGTTGCCACAACAATGAGGATGTTTAGGTAATTTTAGCTGTGAGAGTTGAGCCATTTTAGTGAGTCCTTGAGAACTCACTAAATTCTGTGGATTTGTAGTTGCAAACTGTTTTCTTTTGTTGTCTCTATCTTTGTGAAGAGGTTTGCCTTTGTCACTGTGAATGGACAGTCATTTTCCTTTGAGAGGGGAGGTTGCTGTAGACCACTGGCTCCATGGTAGTGTACCACTCTCAAGAGGAGAAATAGCTGAGTAATGACACTGCTGTTTAAGGTTCTGCCTCCTGTCACCCACAGCTGGGTGGTGTAGGAAATTCACATTGTAATTTGATGTGGGAAAATCCTCACACCAGTCCTGACCCTTTGACCGTTCTCTGGAGGGCAGTTTTTTCACTATGGGCTCAATTGCCCCTGACTCCTTTATCTACACCGAAGTCTGAGACTTCCAGTAGTTCAGAACATAACTGTATTTGAACACAATGTTCTTTTTATTATTATTATTATTATTTTATTAGTTCAAGTTAGGGAACAAGCTTGTTTCACATATAAGTCCCCTCTCCCCCTCCCTCTCCTCACCCCCATCCCTCCTCTCCCACCCCAACCTACTCCCCACCCCATCCACCCACCACTCCCCAGGCAGGGTAGGGCCCTCATGGGGTCTCTACAAAGTCCACCAAATCTTCCTGTGCTGGGCCTGGGCCCTTCCCCATGTGTCCAGGGCCAGAGTGTATCCCTTCACGTGGGGAACACAATGTTCTTACAGAAGTAATTTTAGCTAAAACGAAATCTTTAGTGTTGGTTAGGCCTGAGTACAATAAGACTGGCATCCTTCTAAGAAGAAGAAATTGGACACAGTGTGAAGCAGCAGGAAGGTGGCCACCTGCAGGCCAAGGAGAATCTTCCAAACGAACCAACCATGCTAATGTGTGTTAGGACTTACTACCTCTAGAACTGTGAGGAAATTCTTTCTTGTTTAAGCCATATAGGCAGTGATACATTGTAACAGCAAGTTAATACAGTTTGAATCTGAGGCTCCTGCCTCTGCCAGGAATCAACTCTTTGCCTGGAAGACCCCTGTGGGTAAAGGATCTCAAGTGTCTGTGGGAAGGTTGCTTTGGCTGGTGTCTTGTGGACTGAGTGATACAGTGAACATTATCAGAGATTAGGGAGGGGGGGGGGTAAGAAGAGGAAATGCATTGGGTAAATATGAAGGTCTGTGTCAACATGTTGCTGAGGTTGTGGTGAAGGTGAAGTAGGGCTTTTAGTCAAAATATCTTACTATGCATTCGAGTTGGAAACATGAATTAAATTTTTCTTTTTCTTTTTTAACGGTAGACTGTGATTCTTTCTTTTTTTCTTTCTTTCTTTTTCCGATTTATTTATTTGTTATGTATACAGGGTTCTGCCTGCATGCAGAACCAGATGGCTCTGAGCCACCATGTGGTTGCTGGGAATTAAACTCAGGACCTCTGGAAGAGCAGCCAGTGTTCTTAACCATTGAACCATCTCTCCAGCCCCAAATATGGATGGCATAATGAATTTGCATGTCATCCTTGTGTAGGGGCCATGCTAGTCTTCTCTGTATTTTTCCATTTTTTTTTTTTATATGTGCTGCTGAAGTGAGCACACCTTACAGTTAGGAAGTGCCTTAGGATTTCCCCTGTCAAAGCCACCCTTCCCATGTGTATCTTTAGGGATCTTAGCCAAAAAGCTGAGAAGCCATTCTGTGTCTACCGTAACCTCACATTTCTCTCATCTTGGATGTCATGATGGGCTGTCTCTGGTCATCTCTACTTCCTCCCTGTGGTGCCTAGATAACAGTCCCTCTGTTCCATGAGAGCTACTCCTGCCATGTTCTCTAGTCACTTCCAGTTATCACAGCCAGCTGTCTCAGGGAGCTTTCTTCCCTTTGTACTATCTCAGTATGCTTCATTTCAGCTCACTACTCTCTGCCTTAAATGTTCCTTCTTCTGGGTTGTTCACAGGCATCCTTCCTTCTAGGTTATTATCTTAACCTTGCCTTTCTTTATTAGTCTTCTTTTCTGATTTCAACTCTTTCTTTTGAGTTGTAAATGACAGAGTGGACCTAGACATCCTCTTAATCTGCTGTCTTTCGGTCACACCACTAGATCCCCTCTAACTGTATGTAGATGTTTCCTCAGTTAGTATGAATACTTGAGCTTTGCCCTTAAACCCTGTGCTCCCTTTCTTTGCATTTTATTACTCTCAGCAGCCTCTTGTGTGACAGACAGTTTTTAAAAGCACATCCACTGTAGAATTCTGGCTTTTCCAGCCACCTTGAGTAACTCAAATAGGCTGATGTGTACTGCAACACAAGGGCTTTTGCCTGTGTGGTTCTGCTCTCTGGAAAATTTCTCCCTCTGTACTTATTTGGCTATATTCTGCTTGTAACTTGGGTGTCAGACAACATGCTATCCCCTATGACAATTCTTCTAGTCACATAGCCTGTGGTAGTCTCCAGACACACTCATACACACTGGTCATTCTTTTGTTAAATTTCTTGAACTTTAACTTATTTGTTTGGTGTTCTCACTACCAGAAGGCAAGCTCTTAGTGAGTGGGGACCCCTTTTTTCATACTACACCCACAGTAGGCTTGTGAATCTCACAGATGTTCAGTAAGGACTTGATGAATGATTAATAAAGCCACTTAGCTTCTTTAGCCTATAGACTCTAATTCTTAGAGGATGGATCTTGATGTTTTTAGAAATAAAAAATTGATCATTGGAGAAAGTCCTCAATCAAAACCATTTCAGAAGAACCAGTGGCAACAAAATGTCATTAACTTTTTGTTTTATTTTGTTTTGTTGTTTTGTTTGTTTTTCAGACAGGGTTTCTCTGTGTAGCCCTGACTGACCTGGAAATTGCTCTGTAGATCAGGCTGGCCTAGGAACTCAGAACTCAGAGATATACCTGCCTCAGTCTCCCCAGTGCTGGGATTAAAGGCATGAACCACCACTACCCAGTGTCATTTTATGTGTATGGGTGTTTTATCTGCATGTGTGCCTGTGTACCATGTGCCTGTAGTGCTTATGGAAGCCAGAAAAGGGCATCGGGTTCCTTGGAATTAGAGTTAAAGAATCTTATGAGCTGGGAATCGAACCCTGGTCCTCTGGAAGAACAGCCAGTTTTCTCAGCTGCTGAGCCATTTTTCCAGACCCAAATCGTCATTTTTTTTTAAGATACAGGATTAAGAATTTACAGTTATATTACCTTTTAAAAAAAGTCATTAATATAGTTCCTAAAGCTAGAAAAAAATTATACACCATATGAACAGAAAACTGAGAAAGGAAAGGTGATATGGGAAAACATCAAAACAGAGACAATGTGTTCAGGAATTCAGTGGGGGTGCAGGAAGGGGGCAGGAAATGAGCTGGCTAAGTCCAGAACCTCAGAGGTCCAGGATTTGGAGACAACAGATACTGCATGAAGTGGTGGCTGAAAACATGAGTTTGGCTACAGGTTCTTTCTGTGGAGTAGCTGAATCTGTCTACCTCCATTTCACTTGTTTTGCCTCCATGATATTGAATCTATTTTTTCTTTTGGCCAGAAGGAAGTGGGAAATAAAAGGGGAAAAGTCTGAGCTACCAGGCAGAATGGAGAGAGATGTGTAGGAAAGATAGTAAGTCAAGGTCTGAACCTGGAGCAGTAGAAAGATAGAGGGGTATCTCCAGGGTGCACAGGGAAGGTGAATAATTGTTTTGCAGTGCATTTGTCTTTATTAACAATTATAGCCACTTAAAACAAGCATGTTAGCTCTGTCCCAGCAACTGAATCTCTTGTGAACTAGTGAAAAGAATACTATATTGGCCAGAAGGGTGTGTCTGCTATCAAATGACTATAGTGGGAAATTACCAATATGGAGTCAGGTAGAAATACAAGGGTACTTAATAGGGAAAAGCCTTACTTACAGAGCAACCTAGCCAGCCCGTGTGGCTGAAGTCTGTACCACAAGTACAAAAGTGAAACCAAAAAAGAAGCGCAGTCCCCTGAAAGCATGGTCAGGCACACCTGTAGCCAGCCCCTAAGTAGGCGTGGCTACAGCTTCCCCAACAATTCTCCTTTTAGTCTAAAAGAGGATTAAAACTTAACAGTGTAAAGTATCCAAAATTAACAATCATAAAGGTAAAGTATAAGAAGATACAACAATCTGTTTATGTCACATCCTAACTATCTATTTTAACTAAATCCTAAAGTCATCTGAAAGAGGTGTCCAAGCCTGAACACCTCCTTCCAATTCCAACAATAAACAATAAGAAGCTATCCCTAACTAGGTATATACACTGTCCTAAGTGACAACAATGGGGAAAGGGGGGTGTAGCATCCTCCAAGTTACTTCCTGCTGAAATGGGACGACGATAGCTTTGTGGGGTCCTGTAGGAAGAAAATGTTAGTATAGTGAAAGTCTTGAATGGATTGTATTCAGTCCATGTTAGATGGGATTCGATTGATTGAATATCTCGCTTGAACTCCTCAACTTGATTGAAGTCAGTACCCGAAGCTCTGGCGGGAGTGTCAGTTGAAATGGAGCAAGTTGTATCCAGTGCAGTCAAGGAGGTGTGGCCCATTTTCTTTCCAGGGTGTCCAGGGATTGCTGTCAGGCAGGTCTTCATTGGCTGTGTGGGACTCAAACATAAACAGTGAGCAGAGAAATGTTTGCTTGTGTATGTACACATAGGCTGGCTACAACTTCCCCTACAGATGACCTTCTTGGAACCAGGTCTCAGACATTGTTCGGTAGACTAATCTGACTCCATGAAAATGAATTTTGGAGTTACTGCGATATCTGGTCAACTTCATTGTCATTAATGATCTATGTCAGAAACACAGTGAACATGCGTGTCCATCCACAATACCAGAATTTATTGAATAACAATTAATTCACAAACTACATCAATTTTGTTCACTGTAATTCACCAAATACTACTATTACCAGAATTATTAAGATCAGAGCCTGGGGTCTGGCAGCTCTACCAAGTTAAGCTTGTCCACTCTTCCTCAATAGGTTTATTAAACAGACAAATAATAGTGATATGTAGAGATAGGAGATTTGTCTGATGTGGCCACACTGGGAAGAGGAAAAAATAAAGACATCCAGTGGAATGATCTCCACTCCATCCTCAGGGCTCTCACATGAGTTTAGGATTAAATAGAGGGTCAAAGGTATGTGTAGCTAAGAACTCCTGGATAAGGTGTAGTCTCACCTGTCATTGATCCATCATTGTTGTCTTTATTCCAGTTTCTCTTGCAAGGTGGTTTGAAAGGTTGTCAGAACTGTGTGAAGGCAGACAAGTTCCTCCTTTCTGATACCAGACTCCAGCCTTTTCCTTCTCCTAGTGTGAGATACCTGAAAATTCCAGTTTCTCAAGGACAATTGCTCCTTATCCAAAGGGGAGGAACACAAATGTCTCTGTAGAAAATATTCATTGCTGCTAGGAGGGCTATATATTGATGTCACCTGGTTGAAATGGCCAATAACAACCAGTATTCCTTTGCTTTAAACTTAATTATTATTATCAACTCTGAAATCACACATTGCATTTCACATGATAGAGTAGTAAGTGTGTACTAAGAATGGCTTTGAACAGGTCAAAGTGGCATGCAGGTTCACTGGAGGCAAAGAGACTATCAAATGAAAAGGAACATTTCAGTAGAGAACCAGATAAACAGTTTTTCAAACCACAGCTGTAGAGCTGTTCAAAGCACAAAGTTGTCAGATATCAGGTAGCAGGCAGTTTTGAATACTATTTTACAATTAGATACATGACATAAGCAAGAGAAACTGCTTAATTAAGCTGGAGCCTGGGGAGAAAGGTAGAAGTCCCTTGCTCTAGCAATTTTTCAGGACGAAACTTGTGGCAAATGACTGGGTGGTGGGTCAGTATGTCTTCAACAACTTATCTTGTGTGCTCCTTTTTATAGTCTCAGGTGAGAGGCTTATATCTGGTATGATTGATAAACTCATGGATTGTATTTCCAATATGATTGTACATATTGACATGCATGATAATTTATTGGTACAAATACATTATGTATCAGTTTTGCCTCATGATAGTGGTTGTTTACTTGAATAAACAAGTTATAATGTCATCTTACCACTTAGGCCTAGGGTATAATAACTCAGTTCAAAACTGTTCCTTTGGGAATGGTGAGAGTGCTTAGCAGGTAAAGGTCCTGGCTCCTAAGTCTGATGACCTGAATTCCATTCCTGGGATCCACCTGTGAAAGGAGAGAACCAACTCCCACAAACTGTTCTCTGGTCTCTCCCTAAGTGTCATGTTATGCATGTGCCCTCCACACATACAAGCATGAACACAAATGAAACTTTAAAAGATATAATAAGAAACTCTTGTGTTGTGGAATATTATTTTAAGATGTGTTGCTTTAGTTTGTGCTCTGGCACATTTGTTGAATGATCCAAAGATGTGTTGAATTCTTTTGTGTTGTGTTTGTTTAACTCGGTGAAGGTATGAAGCTGTGATTCTTCGCCTGTCTCAAACACCTGGTTGGGGGTTTAATAAAGAGCTGAATGGCCAATAGCCAGGAGGAGAAAGGATAGGTGGGGCTGGCAGGCAGAGAAAATAAATAGGAGGAGAAATCTAGGAAGAGAAGATCAAGGGAGTAAGACAAGAAGGAGGAGAGGAGGACATCGGATCCAGCCAAGCCAAGAAAAGGCCAGGCATTCATAAGTAAGAATAAAGCCTACATGTGATTTATTTGGGAGCTTGGTGGTGGGACCCCACAAAGTGTAAAAAGAACAAAGAACAAAGATTTTAAAATAACCAATAACACTCTTGCTTTATAAAATACAACATTTCAAGGCTAGCGCAGCATGATAGCTGCTATTCTACACACTTTAGGACACAGACTACTGTGTGCATGTTCATATACTAGGAAGAGAGACAGAGAGCGTGAGAAATGAATAAGCAGGGGCCAGAGCTCATGCAGGACCTTGTGTGGCCTTGGGAAACAAGGTTGCTCTTCTCAGTCCTGCTGGGGAGAGAGCTGGAGGAAGAATTCAACAAATGAGGCATTTCAAATCATGACTTTCCATAAAACATGAGGCCCAGGTCAGGGGATTTAAGAACAATTTTGCCTACTCATTCCTTTCCAGATAACACACAGGAAGAACAGAAGACTCCAGATAATGTTACAGAAAGGAGCTTCAAAACCTCCCAATTAAAGGAGGTTTTCTTTAAAGAAATGGCTGGTTCCTCATGCAATGGCCACAGAGTGAAGCTTGTGTCTCAGTGAAGCTGGCTACATACTTAGCTTCCCATTCAAGCCTGACTTACCTCTTCACTGTGAACTGACAGGGAGGGCATATCTGATGGAAACCTTCTTAATCTAGGAATGGCAGGCATCAAGTCAAATGCAACAGAACACAAAAGAAATATATCTCAGGCAAAGTAGAAGGAAAGACAAAGGTCTCAATCTTCAGAGAGCTAGGCTGTCACACTTCTGAAACAAGTACAGGATGCACCCAAATGAAAGAGACATTAGCAAATAAGAATGGGGGCTTAAAAATCACACATACCACAACAGGAAGAAAACAGCTCACAACTGGTGAAGCAGTGGAAGATAAAGTTAGTGACTTCAACCAGGAAGTAGAACAAGAAAAGATAAGCTGCAGAAAACAAGAGAGAAAAGATGGAGTCTTAAGGAGATTGACTCAAGCTGGCCAGTGCTGGACAAAGAGGAGTCCTATAAAAAGAGAAGTGAGAGAACTCATCCAGGCAAAGTATTATTGTGCTGGACAGATGCTAGCCTAAAGAAAGCCCTCAGCAAGGTACATCATTGAAAATGCTTTAGAATCAACAACCAAACCTGACAGACTTACCTGATACAACAAAACGAGGCATCATTGAAGCCAGCCTGATCTACAAAAGTGAGTTCAAGGAGAGCCAGGACTGTAACACAGAGAAACTGTGTCTCAAAAAAAAAAAAAAAAAAAAAAAAAAAAAAAAAAAGACAAGGCAAAAGGCAAAAGGCAAAAGCCCTCATATAGAGGCTGGACAAGGCAACTCAATAAAAGGAAAAGAGTCCCAAGAGCATGTAAAAGAGTCAGAGATACACCTGCTCCCAGCTCTGCAGAAACATCAAGCTAACAGCCATATCATATATACAGGAGACCTGGTGCAGACCCATGCAGGCCCCAAGCTTGCCACTTCAGTCTCTGTGAGCCCATATGAGCCATGCTTAGTTGATTTAGAGCACCATGTTCTGCTCCTTTCTGAAGGGAAATGGAAGGATGAGGAGGGAGGGGAAACTATGGTTAGGATATATTAAACAAGAATCTATTTTCAATAAAATAAAACAGGAAAAGAAAATACCTTAGAATACTTATGGTAATGAGATTGTAGATTTCCAGGGAGAAAACAAGTACCCTGTTTGGCAGATGAAAAAGTGACAGTAATGCTGGAAGACAAGGTAGTCATGCTTTTAATTAATCAGGTTCTGTGATCAGCTAAATTAGCAGTTGAATGTGAGGCTGGCATAGCAATATTTTCAGGCAAACACTCAGAAAGAGACTCTGTGTATCCTGAGATAAGTGGCTGCAGAGGGAAAATAGCTACCAGTGAAACAGGGCTCTGTCTCAGAGAAGGTTCAGAGACAGTCCCTGGAGTATGGTTGGAAAAGTATTGAGGAAGTGGGCAGCACAGCCCATAGAAGAAGGAAAAATGGCTCCCAGGGGACGGCTGTCGCTCTTAAAAAGTGGGTAATACTGTATTTATAAGAACTCATATTTACTATGAGTTTAACTCAAAGTTTACTATACTTGTAGGAGTTTGGGAAAATTCAATATTCTGCTTTAAGATAAAGAAATTATTAAGCCAGGAAAAACTAGCTATGGCAAAGATCCTTGAAAGAAAAGCCCATTCCCTGCCTCATTTTCCAGAATTTAAGATGCCATTAATCATAAATCTCATCATTGTGAGAAGGAAAAAAAAACTGTTCTTAGTAGAAAGAAAAGTGGTGTTATACAGCATGTGCAAGCTGCAAGTATTTTAAAAGGTTTAAAAATATATTCTTTATAATTGAAACTAGCAACCTATTTGGCTTTCTATATGGCTGTCCATTCCAGTGTTTTAAAACTCACATACCGAAAATCTAAGGCAGAACTTAAATTTTTGGAATTAGTAAATCAAGAAGGAACAGTATTAGGGGTCAGTATTAGGAACAGTATTAGGGCTGACTCAGGCAGTAGTGCTTGCCACACAAGCATGAAGGCCTGAGTTCAATTCCCAGCATCTGTGTAAAATACAGGGCTCAATGGTGCATTGGGGTGGGGGAAGAGGTTTGGTGAACTATTTTTCATTAGCTACCTGTATAAGTTCTGAGTGCATAAATCTTATTTTCATGTAAACAAGGGTAGGGAAACACAAACACACACACACACACACACACACACACACACACACAACCCTTTTGGAACTTGTAAGTGGGACTTGCAAAAAACAAGACATTTAAGATTAGTAGATCTATGGTCTTATCAATACTGTATCCAGACTGGTCAAGACATCCTGCTATGTCCAGATGGACAGGATATAGAAAGAACAGACACTTCTCTCTGTACATGCACTCCTTCTTGACCTCCAGTGGAAGCAAGTCTGAGGATAACTCAGTTCTCTTATCTTTGTAGAAAGCTTAAGAGTTTAGATATTGCTGGGCTGGGATGTCATAGTGCTAGGCTGGGATGTCACAGTGGTGGGTGTTATTGTTTTGTTTAAAAAGAAGAAAAGAGAAATTGCTGATAAGACTATAAGTTTATTATAAAGGCAGAATGGGGGGACTAAGAGGAGGAACAGGGTAATGGCTGACCGCCATGGCCGGTCGCCATAGAGAGACAGAGCGGGGAAACAGAGAGCACACACACAGAGAGAGAGAGACAGGGAGAGGGAGAGAGAGGGAGAGAGAGAGAGAGAGAGAGAGAGAGAGAGAGAGAGAGAGAGAGAGAGAGCGTAAAAAGGTGCAGGGGCCTATCTTTTAAAGGGGTCCTCTGCACCTGCGTGCAGACTTCTTTCCCATGGAACCTTGGGCTGACCAGGGTATTGCCTGAGTGGATTCCACCAGGTAACAGGGGCAGGCCAGCATAATACCTGAACCTTTCAGTGGGAACTTGTTTAGCATGTATGAGGCTCTAGGTTCAACGTCTTGTACTGCAGAACAGCAAATAAAGTTTGCTGCAATATGCCAATCCATTTGATTCTTGCCAAGTGTGACTGTCACATTTCAATAGTGTGAGGATCAAAAGTAGAATGGTAGCTGCTGGCCACTCTACGCCAGACAGCCCAGCCTGACTACCTGCAGAAGCCCACTGTCAGTTCCCCATTCTAATGCTGTTGGGTCTCAATAATTTTCCAGAGGAAAGAGGAAGAAGAGAGGAGGCGAGGAGAAGAACAGATTCGCCTCCAGGAAGAGCAGAGAGCCAAGGAACTCTATTGGACCCTGAAGCAGGCCCAGCTGCACTGCCAAGCCAGCGAGAAAGAGGAACGCGAGTGGGAAGAACAGTGTGAGTTGAGCTGTGTCCTGGGCCTGGAGGCTGCCCCACTTCCCCTGTCCCCAGTACCCCCCCATTATGCATGTGCTTTGCCATCATTTCAGCCTCCTTCCCCACCACCTGAGGCTTTACCTATGTGCATGGCCCTGCTGGAAAAAGGGCTGCACACTCAAGGAGATTGTGCACCTGCCCTAGAGATGTCTTACATTAAAGAATGAAACATTACATTTATTCAGTTGCCAATAATTTCCTGACTATATGTTGTTCTTTGACTTATTGTTCTGTTGCTATGTTGGAGCACCATGGCCACAGCAATTCCTATAAGAGAAAACATTTAATTGGGGACTTTCTTACAGTTTTAGAAGGTTAGTCCATGACCATCATGGCAGGAAGCAAACAGATATGGTGTTAGAGTAGTAGTTGAGAACTTTAAATCATGACCAGCATGAGGCAGGCAGAAGTTGGGGAGAGAGAGAGAGAGAGAGAGAGAGAGAGAGAGAGAGAGACTGAGCCTGGCAGGGACTTTAGAAATCTCAAAGCATACCCCCAGTGACACACCTTCTCCAACAAGCCCATATCTCCTGTGGTGGTTTGAAAGAAAATGGTCCCCAGAGGCTCATATGGAGTGGCACTATTAGGAAGTATTGCCTTGTTGGAGTAGGTGTGGCATTGTTAGAGGGAGTCACAGGGAGCTGGCTTTGAGGTCTCAGTTGCTCAAACCAGAAGAGTGGCTCACTGTCTCTTCCTGTTGCCTGTGGATCCAGATATAGAACTCTCTCTCTCAGCTACCTCTCCAGCATCATGTCTACCTGCACACCACCATGCTTCCTGCCATGATGATGATAATTGACTAGCCCTTTGAAGTGTAAACCAGCCCCAATGAAATGTTTTCCTTTATAAGAGTTTCCCTGAACATAATGTCTTTTCATTGTAACTAAGACACACCCTAATCCTTCCTAAGCACTTCCTAACTGTGAACCTGTCATTCAAATATATGAGCCCATGGAGGCATTCTCATTCAAACTGCCACAACTGTGCTCTGGGAACTTTCAGATATTGATACTTACAGTCCTTATGTTAGAGGCACTTCCAATCAGAACAGATAGATACATGACTCTGGACTTTGGGGGAGAAATGTGGCAGGTACTGTTGGAGCACAGAGTTTGCTGTCCTGGTGGGCTCCAAGGGAGGAGAATGAAGTGAACACTGATGGTGGCTTAGGAATAATTGTGGCAGAGAACACTCTGAGGATTTTTATTTTTATGTGTATGTATGTGTGTGTGTCTGTATGTGTATATACATGTGGGTACCTATGGAGGTTGGAAAGGATGCAGATACCCTGAAGTTGTATGTGGCTGTGAATGTCCTGACATGGGTGCTAGGAATTGATCTTTGGTCCTCTTCAAGAGCAGCAGGCTCTCTCTCTCTCTCTCTCTCTCTCTCTCTCTCTCTCTCTCTCTTTCTCTCTGATTTTTCAAGACAGGGTTTTTCTGTCCTGGAACTAGCTCTTGTAGACCAGGCTGGTCTGGAACTCACAGAGATCCATCCACCTGTCTCTGCCTCCCGAGTGCTGGGATTAAAGGCGTGTGCCACCACTGTCTGGCGCAGCAAGCACTCTTAACCATAGAGCTGTTTCTCCATCCCCCAAAAGGGCACTTTAGATAGAGGCCAGAATGTGCAAAGGCACAGTGACAATGGGACATTGCAAGCTAAGAAACATTGTGTGTGGAAACTCTGGGGAGTGTCCAGTGCAAGAAGTCAAGTAGGAAAAACAAAGTGGAGTCAGGTTTGAAGGATGACATTGTAAAAGGAGTTGCTGAGCCCAGGTATGCTGCCACATGGGCACAAATATGACTCTTAAGATGTCTTTAGTTACAGAGCCTAGACCAAGGAATAACAAACAAGGCATTGTCACAAAGTAAGTGTCAGGGTCAGTGAGGTGTAGGAATGAAGGTAAGACCCAGGCAGGAAGATTTATTTTGATTACAGGAAAAGTATGACACACAGCCTTAGGACGGGTTTATGTGAATGGTTCCATGGGGCAGTTGAATGTAGGCACTGGCTCTGATTGTCTGCATCTGTTCTCTAGGGTAACTATGACAGATGGGTTCAGGCCCAGGTTTAATGGCCAGGTGTAAAAGCATCTCACTGGAGGCAGTGGCTTCTGATTGGACGATTTGCTTATGAAAGGCAGGCCCTTTACTACCTCTAGAAGCTGGCTGGCCTTGGGAGGGAGGGACAGCCCGCCAGGATCAACGGGTTCAAATTTCAAAGCATCAGTAAAAACAAAATGGTAAATATGCTTGACCAGTGAAAGTGGGCAGGGCCCTTCTAGAGTTGAGTGTGTGAATCTATTAAGTCAGGGAGAGAACGGGTGACATGGGGTGGTTGGGCATTTGCAATTTGCATTACATGTACTGCAACTAGATCCCACAGCAGGAGCAGAGAGGTGGAGCCCTCTGCTAGGCAGCTCTCTGCTTCTCAGTATGCCTTGACTATATGAATATATGTCAGATTCATTAAATGGACCTTTTGGAAAAATTGACATGTAATTTTCATATCATAAAATTCATCATTTTAGAACATACAATTAAGCATATTTTAAGTATACTCACAAAACTGTACAACTCTTCCACTATCTAATCATAGAAAATTTTATCACCTCAGAAAGAAAATGTAACCATAAGCAGCGGTTTCTTCCTCTTGCCTCCAAACCACTAACCTAATTAGTCTTCGGGATTTGCCTATTATAGATACTCCATAGAAATAGAAAGGTATAGGTGCTGGAGCCATGACTCAGTAGTTAACAGCACTGCATGTTCTTGTGGAGGACCTGAGTTCACTTCCCAGCATCAGCATGATGGAATACAATCATTTGTAACTCTAGGTCTAGAGTCTCTGATTCTCTTTTCTAGCATCTGAGGGCACTAGGCCTGCAAGTGCTGCATAAAGTTATGTGGACAAAATATCTAGACACATAAAATTCAAAAAGAAAAACTTATTATGTGGCCTTTGGTGTCTAACTTCTTTAATTTAGCAAGTGTGAAGATCTGCCCATGTGGTAGCATCTATCATTACCTCATCTCTTTTGTGCATGTATATATCACATTTTCATTTATGCATTTAGAGGACAATAAACATTGGGTTGTTTCTATGTTAGAGCTATTATGACCACTGCTGCACTGAATATTTACATACACAAATTTTTTGAAGATATACTTTCAATTCTTTTGGGTATACATGTAAGAGTAAAATTTCTGGATCATATGGAGACCAAGTTTGACAATTTTCTGAGTTGCCACGCTGTTTTCCAAGGTAATTGCATCATTTATATTCCTACTAGAGCTGTCTGAGGACTTCACTTTCAATGCAACCCCCACTACCACCTCAATACTTGACATGGGTTCTGGGTACTGATTCTGGGTCCTCTGAAAGAACACCCAGTTCTTTAAATCTCTGAGACATCTCTCCACCCTCCTTCCACTTTCTTGGTGGTTCCCTTTGAAACACAAATGTTTTGGATTCTGAGGAAGTCCCATTCTCTTTTGTCACTTGTGATTTTTGTAACATCTAAGAAATCAGTTGTTCGCTTCCAGGTCAAAGTGACTTACACCCATCTCTCTTCTAAGAGATTTACAGTTTTAGTTCTTAATGTTTAAACCTCTGCTATGTTTTGAGTTAACTTTTGTGTGAAGTGACATTCTTGATTGACAGTTATCAAAGTACCATTTGTTGGAAGGGCTATTTTTTTTCAAAGCTCTTGGCACCCTTGTAGAAATATTTACTCAAACCATGTCTGCTCACCCCCTCACCCCTGAGCTCTCAGCTCTGTTCTGCTGGCTTATTGTCTGTTCTCATGCCAGCAGTCTTGGTGACAGGAGTCTTGCAGTAAGCTTTGAAACTGGGTAGTAGTGTGAGACCTCCGCCACTGTTCCTTCTTGGGAATATTTTGATTATTCAGAGACCCTTTTTATTTCCATACGTATTTTAAGATCAGCTGGCCTAGTTCTGAAATGATAGCAGCTGGGATTTTGATAAAGATTGTATTGCTTTTGTACGTCCATTTGAGGAGTATTGCCATCCTCACAATACTTAGTGTCAGGCGTAATGGGCTATTGCATGAAATCCCAGTGGAAGTTCAAGGCCAGACTGGCCTACATAGCAAGTTCAAAGACATGTTCATCTGGCATACTGAACCCTTGTTTTTTAAAAAAACCAAAGAAACAGTGAAGGTGGGGTCTGAGAAGATGGCTCAGTGGTTCAAAACACTGTTCTTCCATAGCACTTCACATTGATTTCTAACATCTGTGTCAGGTGGTAATATGCACACACGGGCACATACATACACATAATTAAAATAATAAAAATAAATCATGCAAAAACCCTAGCAGTAGGGCTGTAATTCATTGGTAAAGCACATGCCTAGCTCATGTGAGGCTCTGGGTTAAATCTTCAAGATTTCAAAAAAAAATTTTTTTTCAATCCTTAAATACAAGACAGCATTTCACTTAAATCTAATTTAATCTCCTTTAATAATATTTCATAGTTATGCCCTTGCTTTTATTAATTTATTCCTGAAGTATAAATGGAATGTATCTAGATTATGCATTGGGCTTTTTTTTGTTGATCTTATATGCTGATCTCTCACTACACGTATTGGCTCAAAAAGATAATTGTAGATGCCTGGTAATTTTCTACATACAAGATAAGAGGAGACAGACATGGCACATAGGAAAATGGCAGTTTATAAAGGTATGAGGGGAAGCCCCATGTTAGGATGAATTGTTTGATTTTAATTGGGCATACTAATTAGGCGAGCCAAAGGGACTTCCGATTGCTGAATTTCAATACTTTGATTTCGGGACTTTGGCTGTCAGCCTCAGGAGGAGGAAGTGGCCAAATAAGAGAATAGTTTTTTATTTATTTATTTAGATTAGAAACAAGCTTGTTTTACATGTCAATCCCTGTTCCCTCTCCCTTCCCTCCTCCCCTGTTCCCCACTGACCCCTAGA